AAGGAATTTCAATTTGTCTTGAAAAACTGAATAATCGACAAAAAAATCACAATGGTTGCCTATAATCAGATGATAACCCAATTTTTGATGGAATTTCGAACATACCTTGGACCGATTGAAAGAACAAGGCCGATGCAATTTTTTAAAATTTTCAGAATTTCTCTCGTGATCGCCAATGAAAAAAAAAAATTAGGGCAAATGGCAGGTTTTCAAATTTTATATGGTATGAATTTGTAATTTTGTGCAAATGGAGGGGTGTTTCGGTCTTTTCTGATGTAAAAGTGATGGCAATATTGGAATGCTAAGGTGGGATTATATTTATCACATGGGGGGGTGGGGATTTTTTTATCAGCTAATACCTGATTTCCAATGGCAAGTGGGATGCCACATGCGCACCACGTCATTCAGTCCCATCCAAATCTAGGTAAGTAAACGCACGATATTGCCGGGATTATTTAATTATCTTGTCCTATCCCCCGAAGTAAACGACCCCTAAGTTTATTAGGGTGTGATTGTTTATGATTTCAACTCAAAAAAAAAAAAAAAAATCAATCAAATCTCAAATTTAACTCAACCCCACTATCATCAATATTATCAATATAATTAAATAATATTAACCAATCAATAGTACACATCACATGAACTTTAATTCACTATTAATCCACTCATATAATTTTAACTAACCACCACTTTCAATCATTTTCTCATACTTTTACATCAAATCAACTTTAATTATTTTAATTTAAATATTATTTTAATATTCCACTAACAACTAACCATACTACTTTTTCTAAAATTTAACTATACTTAAAAAAACTAGTTTTTTTTTTTTTTCTTTTTAGCTAACAATTACTTCACAACATATGTCTTCCACTTTTACTTTTACATCAAATCAACTGTAATTATTTTATTTTAAATATTATTTTAATATAAAGTCAAAATTCCACTTTGTAGATTCTTTTTGTTTTGTTTAGATTTTTTGGTTTGATTTGGTTAGTTTTGAAAAAAATGGTATGATTAGTTGTTAGTGATTATATTAAAATAATATTTGAATTAAAATAATAAAAGTTGATTTGATGTAAAAATATGAGATAAATGATTTGAAATGATGATTAGTTAAAATAATACGAGTGGATAAATAGTGAATTAAGATTGATGTGGTGTGTATGAATTATTGATTGATATTATTTAATTATATTGATAATATTGATGATAGTGAAATCTAATTAAAATTAAGTTAAAAAAATAATTGAATTAAAATATTCTGAATTTTTAAAAATTTATATAAACAAACTCGCTGAGTCTGAGAAATGGGATTTGTTTTGTCCAACATGGTGGCCTAACAATCCCACCCAACAACTTGCGTGAAAAACTGAAAAAAGGAACTTTTAGTTGGGTTTTTTTTACAATTACGCTAAATATGAGGTGCTTCTACAATAATATTTCAAAATCTTCACCACGAGGCACGAACCGCGTCCATCAGTGAATCTCACAATTGCCCAATCCGCAGTCTCGAGCGTGTAAAACACGCTCCATCATCACAGTCAAAATATACATCTCACCTTCATCATCACAACACAACGGACACCACTAACTCCAAAACCGTGCACTCACGTGGACCCACTCTCTCTCTGTCATCATCTTCATCTACACATCACACAGACACACACATAGCTAAACTTATATGTATGTGTATATTGTTGGAATTATGGAGCTTAATGTGATTGATCGTGCATGGTTTATGTTCATGCAGAGTGTTTTAGCATTTTATCTGTCATTACTCCTTTTATCTGAAGTCGCGCTACACTTACTAAGTCGCACTTCTTTTCCGTTGTTACTTTCTTCTTGTCACGTGTTTTAGTTATTGGCACATGTGTTATCTTTCTATTAGCTTCTCTGTTCCCCACGTGATATAAGTGTGTTAGCTGGGGGTTTTCTACTGTAATTTGGTATTGAACATTTACAGAGCTCCAAGCTCAACTTTAATGGTGATCTAGGTTTTGTA